ACGTCAAAGAGGTACAACGGCTGACAGGACGACTGGCAGCCCTGAGCCGTTTCCTCTCCAAGTCAGCCGAGAGGTCACTCCCTTTCTTCGAGATCATGCGAAAAGCAAACAGCTTCAAGTGAACGACAGAGTGCCAGGAAGCATTTGAAAAACTGAAGAGGTACCTATCGTCCCCGCCAGTGCTTTCCAAACCCAGAACTGGCGAAACCCTCTTCTTGTACTTAGGGGTGAGCACGTCGGCCATCAGCTCTGTGTTCATCTGTGAGGACGAAGGGGTGCAGAAGGCCATTTTCTACATCAGCAAGACACTTAGGGAGGCCGAGCTCAGGTACTCCCCCATTGAGAAGACGGTGCTAGCCATCGTCCATACGGGGAAGAAGCTGGGGCACTACTTCCAGGCCCATGCCGTCCATGTACTGACCCAGCAGCCCCTTGGCGCACTCATGAGAAGCCCCACTAGTTCCTCAAGGATGGTGAAATGGGCGATCTTCCTCAGCCAATTTCAGATTGAGATCAAGCCAAGGCCATCTATCAAAGGGAAAGCATTGGCCGACTTCGTCACCGAATGCACGGCAAGGGAGACAACCACTACCACCCCCGGGCCAGAGCCCGATGACACATGGGTCCTCTTCACCGACGGCTCGTCGGCCGCGAAATCATGTGGCGACGGCGTCCTCATATCCCCTGAAGGATTCAGAGCTTACTATGCCATCCGCTTCAACTTCAGGGTATCCAACAATGAAGCCGAGTATGAGGCCCTCCTCAGCGGCCTTAGACTCGCCGCCGGCCTCAGAGCCCGGCACATCAGAATCAGGTGCGATTCCAAGCTGGTAGTGGGCCAGGTTGAGGGTACGTACGAAGCAAAGGAAGACCGGATGAAGCAATACAAGCAAGCGGCAGAGGAGTTGCTGAAGGCGTTCGAAACCCACGAGATCACACAGATCCCAAGGGCCGAGAACGCCGAGGCCGACATCCTCTCCAAACTCAGCTCGGACACTCCGGAGCACATCTCCCAGTTAGCCAAGATCGAGGAGCTGAGCATGTCCAGCATCCATGCCAGCCCCATCTTGTGCATCCAACAACGACCGAAGGACTGGATCTCTGATATCACCACCTTCATCACGACGGGGGAGCTACCACAGGACGAGGAGAGGACCAAGCTCGCCAAACTCAGGGCCCCAAGCTACACCATTGAAGATGGCAAACTCTACAAACGATCCTATAATGGTACTCTCCTCCGATGCCTACACCAGGACGAGGCCGACGTGGTCATGGAAGAAGTTCACTGTGGTGTTTGCTCCTCGCACCAGGGCCCTTTCAGTATGTCCCGGCGTCTCGTCGTCCAGGGTTTCTTCTGGCCGACGATGGCGTGAGATTGTGCAGACCTGGCTAGAAAATGTACCACGTGCCAAGTGCTCCAGAAGTCCCCTGGTCGGCCAGCCGTCAACTACGCCCCCGTCAGCACCGCTATTCCATTCTCGAGATGGGGGATTGACCTGGTCGGCCCTCTACCCAGAGCTGCTGGCAACAACCGCTACATCATCGTCGCAGTCGACTACTTCACCAAGTGGGTCGAAGCGGAACCTTTGGACAGCATCACGGGAGCCAGGTGTCAGAAGTTCGTTCACAAGAATATTCTCACCCGCTTTGGTGTCCCCCAAGAGATCATATCCGACAACGGCACCCAGTTCGAAGCGGCGCCCTTCCAAGAGCTCCTTCGAGAATGGGGGATAAAGCACCGTTTCTCCTCCGTTGCCTACCCTCAAGGCAACGGGCAGGTTGAGAACGCCAACAGAACTATAATGGAGGGGCTGAAGAAGAACCTACAGGACGCAGGAGGGAGTTGGGTCGACGAGCTCCCAACATCCTGTGGTGCTATCGTACTACGCCGAGGAGGGCAACGGGTGAGACACCTTTTGCCCTGTGTTATGGCTTTGAAGCAAAAGCACCCACGGAGGTCACCATTCCCAGCCGACGGGTGGAGCAGTATGACCCAGAGGTCAACGAGGAAAACATGAAAATCGACCTCCACCTGGTCGATGAAAGACGTGAACATGCATTCATCCGAGCAGAGAACTACCGGCGTCAAGTGAAATCATACTATGACACCAAGGTATGTTCCCGAGAATTCCAAGTGGGGGACTACGTCCTCCGCCGAAGGGAAGCAAGTTAGCCGACAGAAGGAGGCAAGCTAGCCTTGAAGTATGAAGGTCCCTACATCGTCAGTGTCGTGGTGAAACCCGGCACCTACAAGCTTAAACGCCCAAACGGGACCAATGTACCACGAACGTGGAATGTACACCATTTGGTGAAGTTTTATCAATAATCCGAAGGAGGTGCAGCCGGCGAAACCCTCACCCTTTGACGGGTTATCAATTGAACGCCACCCTCGGCCTTGAGCCACTTTTGAATAAAAATCATGTTTCCTTTGATTTCTTGGAATTTGAGTAGCACATTAACAGGCGCCCTCATCAGCCACCTTAGAGCGAAAGGCTCAGGCATGGCCGATGTGGCGCTTCGCATCTGCATCCTTAGAGCGAAAAGCTCAAGTATGCCCCATTGTATTTTGTATCAACGAAAGGCTCAGGCCCAGCTGAGAGAGTACGTCGTATCGGTCCCTTAGAGCGAAACGCTCAGGCAGGGCCGACGATGTCCCCAGGACGACAGGCCCGCAAACGGCCCACGTCTTGAAATGGGAAGTTCACCGCGTCGTCCACGCGCCTGATCGCAGGACGACATGCCTGAAATCATGGCCGAGGTGACAAAATCCCCAAACTCAGGGATGGGCAACGGCAACCGTTGGAAACCAACCAAAAGTCTAGCCCGCGTCATAAATAGGCGACGGGACCCCCCTGAGATCATGGACGTTATAATCGAAGTCCAAACCGGCCGGAGGACTATCGACCCCTTCGGCTGAAGCCTGAAAGAAGGACACTCCCTGAAATAGGGAACAAAAAAAAGAGGGAAGCCGAGGACTGCGCACACTTGCCGGCCTCGAGCAGTGAAAATAAATCCCCACAAATCAGCCACATTTGGCTAAGTACATATCAGTTGAATACAAAGGTAACACTACCAACAGGTAACGCGGACGAAGCAGCCACCCACTAGAAGGAAAGTGTTGAGGACGGAGCATACGCCCATAAAACCCTAACCAAAGTGGTTGGGTGAAACGAGGGTGGTAACCTTCATCGGCCATAACCTCTCGAAGCGCCAACACTTAGCATGAAAAAAGGAAGTATAACTTCACACTTAAAACACAATCCTGAAGTTGACCACCGGAAAGGAGGCCCAGGACGAAGCGGACACTAAAACACCCGCGGGAAAGTTACACACGGGTGGCAACCCCTACCGGCCACAAGATTCTTGCTGGCCGTTAAAGGCGCTAAAACCTAGACGGTGGCTTAAGCTGAAAATCTTCAAAGGAAGTTGACCAAGTGAATTCCGACACTTAGAGAATTCTAAAGAAAGCAAATGCAAAGGAAGAGGCAAAACACCGGGCACCTTCATCGGCCATACCGTCCAACTTGGCCGACGACGATACTACGCAGAGAAAGTTACATGGCCTAGAAAATGGGCAACCTCCTCAACGACGGGGCAGCCCCAAGACGAAGCGGGCACTCAAATACCTGTAGGTGCCCGTCTCGGCCTCGCCAACGACCGGTAAGGTCTTGCTAACCGATAAAGACACTACAACTAAGGCGGTTGCTCAAATTGCCACTCAGTGGACTTCACACACGTAGAAAGTTTCCCGGAAAACACAAATATCAAAGGCATGGCCTACAAGGGTAACAGGCAGAGGAAACTACAACTCCCAAACACTTAGACGAAGATGGCACCCAAAACAATTGAAGGTACCCTCATCGGCCCGGGTGTCGGTATCGGCTGCCTACTTGGAAGATTTTCTAAAGCTATGACTGACATTTTATACTTAGGAAATTTTCCAAAAAATCTCTAAGTATTCTGGCACCAAGACGAAGCAAACACTCACACGGGGACGTCGTACAAACACGGAAAGAAAAGAAGGCCAAAATATCAAAGTATGAAAGACAAGAAGCATTTTTCATTCATAAATCAGGAAAGTACAAAGTGGGCTTCTGGGCCGTTACATAATCAAAAGTCAGGAAAAACAATACAAGGAATCATGGCTCTGAAGGGGCTTCGGAGTCCTTCTCGGCATCGGCTCTCTCTTCGGCCAGAGCAGCAGACGTACCGGCAGCAATACCTGACGTCGCGGTATCCTCAAACATACTTGGCTCATAGGCCCAATCGTCGCTGACGCGAGAGCTCTCAATGGAGAGCTGTCGATCAGCCACCGGGAGCTCGAACTCCGCTTCGGGATGCCTCATCAATGAAAGCAGCTCAAGGCCGACGACCCACTCCTTGGCCACACCCATATCTATGAAACGCCGCTGAAGCCTCCTGTACAGCAGCCGTTGCATCCGGTACTGACCAAGATCGTAGAAGATTTTCATCTCCTTCTCCCAGTACGCCTGGCCGTCGGGGGATTTGGTCACCCAGTCAATAAGCCTGGCCGCCACGACCTCGAAGCACCAGGAGAGCCGGTCCTCGTCCTTCCAGCCGACTTCGAGGAACTTCTGCACAGCTGCCTCAGCAGCTTTCTCCTCGGCGGCACTAAGGGCCAGCTCCGCACTGGCCTTACCCTTCTCGGCCTCCTCCGCACGCCGAAGGGCCTCGTCACGAACACGCTCCATATCGGCTAAGCGCTGGAGGGCCCCTTCCTTCTCAGCAGCCAGCTGATCGGCCTCATCAGCCCTCTTCTTCAGGCCTTCGACTTCAAGCCGCAGCCTCTCCAAGCTGCCCAGCGCTTCGTCGGCCGAAGCAACCCTTTGCTCGAATTGCTTCAAGCGAGCAATCTCCTTTTGCTGCCTCCTGTTGCTTTCCATCAACATGAAGGCACCCTGCGGTAAAATATGGGTTAGACGACAACAGCGCATAACAAAAAAAAACAGAAACGCAGACGAAGCGGACGTGAGTACTTACTTGGACGATGTGGTCCATTCCACCATCGTACATCTTAACATGGCCGAGCTTCTTCAGGTAAGCCCGGTCCTCGTCAGGGATGGCCTGGGAGATCACCTAGTGGCCGTCAACGATCTCGTTGAACAGCCCCCCTTTGACAGGGTACTCCACCTCAAGCTTGTAGGTCCCTTTGACCAGCTCTCGGCCGGACCCTTTCTTTCGGGTGGCCGTTACGGCAGCAGGAACGGTGGACAGGGTGGTGGACGAAAGGCCCGAAGGGTGGTCCACCAAAGCATCAACATTGGAACCCCCCGTCCCCAGAGGGAACAGGCGACGTCCCGACATCACCAGCAGGGGAAGCTCTCTTCGACTTCTTGGCAGGCTTTAGTCCCGCCTCAGTCAACTTCTTTTGGCCCTCATCGGCCTGCCGTTTCTTCTTCGGCTGCACTGGGGGCTTGGCCGCAGGGGCAGCACCAGGCTGTTGGGCCTTCAACTCCTCGGCCGCCTTAAGTTGTGCCCTCTTCATGAAGGACATACGATCCATGACAAAACCTGCACCAGAAAAAACACTAAGGGTCAGCAAACAGAGAATACAAAAATACGACGAGAAGAAGTGCATCAGAAAGGAATTACCATCGTCCTCAGCTGGCACCCCCAGATCGGGACCATCAGCCTCCTCATAAGACGTGGTCATCTTCGGCCACAACTCCACATCGTCGTCATTGTCACCATACACAAAATACCGTACGAAGTCGAGGGTGGCCATTTTGTACTCGGTAATGTACGTCTTCACACTCCTCGGCCCTCCCTTCAGGAAAGCCTCAACCTGAGCGTCCAGGATGGAGCTCCTCGACGTGTCATGAAGATTAAACCGTCCATTGTGGCCGACGGAAGGAAACTCTACACCCCCTTCACCCAACGATATGAACACAAACTTCCCTTTCCAACCATGGATGGACGTCGGCAGGTCTGTGAAACTTCTTTTCTTGGGGAGTTGTTGGAGAGTGGCATACGACGCACAGTTCTGATGACTTCCGCGGCCTATCTGGTATAGGTTCATAAACAGCGCCGTCGTCGGCCTGAAATCCAATTCAGCACACCGCAAGAGGAAGCCGACGATGAGCAAGTAGCTATTCTGCGTCAACAAGGCCGGAGGGAGCCCCACCATATCTAGGTACTCGGTGATAAAGGGATGAAGCGGGAACCGAAGTCCTTTGGCAAAACTCATCGGGTACACTCCAAAGTAGCCCGGGGGTGGATTAAGGACATGGTCCGTCGGCCTGGGGGGCCTCACCCTACCATACGGCCCCACATACATCTGTGCAACCAGGTATTCACCCGCATTACTCTGCGGCCTGATAATGTAGATATTCATCAGATCCAAGTACGAGAAGGCTGGCCCTCTCTTCGGCCTCCTCACCCTCTTCGGCGGCGCAACACCCTTCACAGCAGACACCGGTTTTGGGCATGGGATGGCAGCCGACGTGGACGCCCCATCAGCAGTTCGGGAGACCCCTACGTCCCCACCTCCAGACGATGACGCAGACCCCTCGTCCTCACCGTCCTCATCATCCTGCTCCCCGGACTTGAACGAGCTCAGATTCTCAAGCTCTTCACAGAACTCCTCGACCACTTCATAGTCAAGGGACTTGGTGGAGGGCTCGTCGTCGTAAGGGTAGTATACTCTTCGTTGAAGTCTTTCATCTTAAAACACTATTTCGAGTATACTGCAACCTACTTCGAGATCTAAGGGTGTCCAAACGCCTAACACTAGATCACTAGCCTAGGAAGCAAAATATGCAAAGTACAGAGAGATTTCGGTGAACACTAACCTTGAAGAACACGAAGAACACGAAGAACACAAGCTTGGAAGTTTATCTCTCTAGGAATTTGGCCAGCACTTCGATAGCTCAGATCGCAAATGAGAGCTCTCGTCGAATAGAGAGGGGTATTTATAGAACCCCCTACCTAACGGTCACTACACGTGGCACCCTCCGAGTGGCCACACCAACGGCCACCAACGGGACGCCACCACGTCATTAATGGGCCAAGCCCAACCCACAGATCAAAAGCCCACTGGCAAAGCAGGCTCTACGGAACGGGGAAGGGGAGAATAACACCCACAACGGCCATGGCACTCAACGGCCAACAACAGACAACGGTTACCCCACAGCACCCGTATCGGCCATCCAGACGGCCACAATACCCCCAAGGAAAGGAACATAACGGCCATGAGGCCCTCGCACTAAACCCTTGATGATAACCCTTTGAAAGCGACCTGCGTCCAAGGGTTCTCCCACAGGGTTACCTTGATCAGGAAATCGCCAAAGGGTTGGATTCAAGGGCAGTATGAGGATCCCACTCCGGCCTAAGTTTCAATCTACTCCCTCACCCCTCACTCACTCTTCGGCCTGAAGCAGTGGGGGACTGGGGGACTACATCGGCCTCAAGAATAACAGGCAAAATCAAAAGAAATCCAAAAATACACCAAGTCCACAACTACAACATCAGACATGCACCACAACGTCCATAACATCATGATATCACAAGACACTTATCGGCCTTGGAACCACACATCACTCTCAAGCCAGGAATCAAAAGAAAGGTTAACATACCTAAATCACTGTCGTCCATGTACCGCAACGGCCCCGAGGTCCTCACAACTTCATCTCCGGCCAGACAGTGTTATCATTCCCAAAACCTTGGGCAATATGACGTCTGGTCGTCCAAAAACACAGGGCATCATCAACAACGACCAAAAGGAATGCGCAGTGCCCTCATCGGCCACCCAAAACAAAGACGCAACCCCTACGGCCTCACTAGCCCAAAAGGGAAACTTACCTAGTCAACAACCAAGGATAGACACTACCTTCATCGACCACTCGTGCCAGAACACTCATCATCCAACAAACAAAGCGCATCAAAGGAACAATAGCCTTCCCCGTCCGCATCAGGGGGCAGGCAACGGCCAAACTCAGAACAGGGCCACCAAACGCCGCGACAGGGAACAGCCAACGTGGTCCCGCATCGGCCAAGAAGCATCAAGCACAGAAATCTATTCTCCCTCACTTCGTCTACATTTCAGCTTAGAGAGTGGGGGACTCTTGATGGAGTATATGAGTCTAGGCCCCAGGACCCACATACTCAGAAGAACAGAAAGCACAGCCACTACGCAGTGCCCTCGTCGGCCAGAAGACCCTCGTCGGCCGAAGAAGGACCAACTCAGAATATGATCCTGAAGCCAAGGAACCAGGGTGTCCTCATCGGCTGAGCCCTCATCGGTCGTGCCCTCGTCGGCCAAGACCCTCGTCGGCCGCGGAAGTCTCACAGAACCGGATTTTACACTTATTCATTCATATAGTCCACTAGTGGCTCTGTATTCGGCCCAATAGCGGTCCAGTTGTAAATGGACCTCCCAACCCCAAGGCTTGAGAGCTCAGTCTGCATTTTTCCTATAAATACTTCCTCTGGAGGTAGTTATAGGGGTTACAAAATCATTCTATTGAAGCATTACTTGCACTTCTCTCTCTAAATCTCACTTCTCTCTAGATATATACTCTATCACATTAACCTATGACACATTAAAATGAAAAGAACAACATTAGAATCTCTCAATCATTCATAAGTATCTAGTCAACGAACTAAGATAAAACCCCAACAAAACCAGAGTATGTAATAAAAACTTGAATTCTAAACACACATACACATAAAGTATAACAAAATCGCAAAAAAAAAGTGTAACCAAATCGCATAACAGTAATCTAAAAAGTGTAAGCGAATTTAACGGCGTCTTAGGAAAATCGGAGAGTAAAAGCACAAGGAATATATGAAAGGAAGATATAATTTGATTTCCGAAAGAGGTTCATCAATAAACCTAGCGATGGAATCATCAGAACTACTGAATTTCTAGGCACACCATCGATAGATCCGTCTTCTATTCTTGACAGGGAAGCATTGGCAGCGGCAGACCTCCCAATTACAGCCGTTGGAGCAGAGAATACAGATGGCGGGCCTTCATTGTAGCAGATAATCTGAACTTGTCATGTGGCATCGGCGAGACCGTGAGATGGAGGCGGCAAATTCCACATCTGAACTGCACCTTCTAGCGTGTTTTACGTCGGAGAGGGGGGTGAAGGTCGCTCGTGGGTGGAGTTTTGGGGCTGGACGGAAATTAGAGCTCGTTGAAAGAGGAAAGGGACGAGGGTGAAATCGATGATGGTAATTGATGGTATTACTTGTAAGCTTTTTTTGAAATTAAACATACATAAGTGAAAAGTTAAAAGTCTACAAATGAAAACAAATCCAGTGGGCTATAAAAGAAATACGGTCTAGGGATCGCACCATGCATCCTTTGTTATTTTTTATTTTTTATTTTTTTAAAATTGTTAATAATTTTTTTTATTTTTGATCTAATTTTTATAAAAATTATATCAAATTTTTTTATTTTTCATGATCTTTCAAATGAGACCAATATTGTCTATGTAATTTTAATTTTTTACATTCATACATTTTTTGTAATATATTTTTATATGCATACACTTTTTCTATAATATTTTTTTTTATCACTTTTATACGATTTTAGAGGTTTTTAGGATATTGAGTTTGTTTATTTTGCTTCTAGCTTGGAGTTACATTTGATAATATACGAAGTTACATCATCTTATACTCGAGTTACAAGTTATTATGTGTGAGTTACATCTTCGTATGTGTGAGTTACATCTTGCTATACACGAGTTACATACTTTTATGCGATAGTTACATGTAATTATGTGTGATTTACATCTTGTTATACACGAGTTACATACATTTATGCGCGAGTTACATGTAATTATGGGTGAGTTATATCTAATTATTTGTGATTTTTTACTTATCTTTATCTTGAACTAATTCAATTATAACTGAATTAATTTTTTTCTTTGCCAATTTAATACAAAATTTTCTTAATCCACATAAAATAAGTATATTGTATTTCATATTCATATACTATTTTTAAAAATGATAAAAATGAAAGATATAGCAGGGGTTTAATTCATGGTGTAACTCACATACATTAAGATGTAACTCGTGTATATTAAGATGTAACTCACGTACAATAAGATGTAACTCGCGCAGAAGATGATGTATCTTCATGATATATTATCAAATGTAACTTCAAAATAATTTGTTAAAATTACATAAGCAATATTGGTCTCATTTGATAGATCATGAAAAATAAAAAAATTTGATATAAAATTTATAAAAATCGGATATCAAATAAAAAAGTTATTACAATTTTTAACAATAAAACAAATAAAAAATGAATGCTGCGTCGTTTTGGGATCGGGCACACCATCCTCATGGTGCCCCGATCCCAGGATATAAACTGCGGCCTCAAACGGGATGTTTCCACTTAACATAATTATACGAATTTGTGAAGTATAGTGAAATAATAATCCAAATATTACTTTTAGTGTTTGAGCAGACAAAAATATGACTAATTTGTATTAGGACAAAAAAGTGATTAACGTATTTGAAAAGCCCAAACCAGAACTGCTTTATCCTCCTGATCGTCTTGACTGAACACCTTCGCACCCTGCGCTCCAGGAGGCAACATACCTTCACTCCTACTCAGTTCGAGTTCGTTGAACGCCGCTACACACAGTCTGAGTTCGTCGACTAAGCCGTCGCTGCGCACCGTCCGTGTTCTCCAACAAAGCTGCCACCACCAATCTTCTTCTTTTCCTTTCTTCTCGAGTTCTCACCTATTACTCTTTCGTCTCCGGTACAGAGCATCTTCGTCATTTTCGTCTTCGATGGAGCTTGACAAGCTTGTCAATCACTGCCGCTTTGGGTCACCACTGTCATTGTCGTCTTCGATGGAGTCTTGACCGTCGCCGCTCAAAATCCTTCCCAGATATATAGATTTTCAGACCCGGGCAGTTAGATTCCGGATCCTGACGGCTAGGGTTTCTAACTCGGGTGGTGGGGCAGGGTTGCATGGTAGTGACAGGGGCAGGGCTAGGTTTGCTGATGTGAGTGGGGAGGTGCGCTGTGAACTGTGGTGGGGGGGAATGGTGGGGGTGTGTGTTGTGGACCGTGGTGGAGGAGTGGCGGGGGTGGTCACTGGTGACGGTGGTGGGCGAGTGGGGGTGGTCACCGGTGACCGAAGTTCCCAGTAGTGACCATATATAGTGGTGGTGGTTACCGGTGATGTTGGCTATGAGGGCGGTGGTGGGCTAGAGGTTCGAGGCTAGGGTTGGAGCAACTGGGGTCTGATGGTCTGTGGTGGTGATGGGGTCATTATGGCGGTGTCACGGATACCGGAGTCACCGTGGAGGTATCACAGATTCCTGAGTCACTATGGAGGTGTCACTGTGACTGATTGGAGTCACTATAAGTGGTCGGAGTCACTGTGGAGGTATTATTGTAACTGAATGGAGGCATTGTGATCTGTGGAGATGTCACTATGGTCAGACTCATTTACTGTGTCACTGAAGGTGTGTCACTAGAGTTCACATTTTTGGGACAAAAATCATAAACATTACCCTTTAAAATATTATGGACAAAAATATTATTTAGTAACTATTAGTGACTATAATTGTTTTTAAAGTTTACATTGTAGTAACTAAGTGTAAGTTAATGTGATGTAAATTTGAACACAATTATAGTCACTCATAGTTATTAAGTCACATTTTTGTCTATGACATTTTTATAAGTAATAGTTAAGGAAAACTGATGATAGTTTTTACACAGTCGTGAGACAGGTTAGTTTTACCTTGGTGATGATAGTATCGCGATAGTAATTAACCCCAATACGAGAGGAACCGTTGATTCGCACAATTGGTCATCGCGCTTGGTTGAAAAGCCAGTGGCGCGAAGCTACTGGCGTTGGATTATGACTGAACGCCTCTAAGTCAGAATCCGGGCTAGACCGATGCATGCGCTTGCTGTCCATTTGCCGACCCGCAATAGGGGCCCAAAGCCCCCAAGGGCACGTGTCGATGGCCAAGTCACCATGGTGGAAGAGTCGTGGTGGCCGCCTTGAAATACAATTCTGATCGGGCGGCGAGTAGAATCCTTTGCAGACGACTTAAATACGCGATGGGGTATTGTAAGCGGTAGAGTGGCCTTGCTGCCACGATCCTCTGAGATTCAGCTCTTTGTCGCTTCGATTCGTAAAAAAAAAATCTTCTCAGTTCCATTTTTAGGACATCGCAAAAAATTCTTCTCATTTCCTTCTTTGAAAAGGTTTGTGTGACTACTATTCATTTACATTTTTCTTACTCAACCATAATCATACATTTCCATTTTATTCTCACTTTCTTAAACTCTGATCCAAGTGAAACTAGAAAGTATTTTTCGGGACAGAGGAAGTATCTTGCTTATTATTTATGTTATTTTATCTTATATTTGGCTTTATCTTATTGATTTTACTTACTTTATCTTTTTATTCTTCTTATTTTTCTTCTCTTTTTGACTTTGATATCAAGGATCATTTTATTGTAAGCCCAACCAACATCTTTTGGGTATAAGACTTGAGTGACATTTGATCAGTGTGTTTTTTAACTATGAATTTATATGAAATTTTAAAATGAGCATATGCCAGTATCAAATGAGCATAATGCCAGTACCAAATGAGCATACATAACTTACAAAATGAGTATCGAAAAATTCAAAACATTATTTCAAATTGCTAATGTGCTCGAATCCTCATTTGTCTATGCACATTTCGTTTAAGCTTCACACTCATTTGGCATGTGAGAGATCGAGAGCGATGCAGCAAGAGTTGGATTGATTTGCCAGTCGATCTATATAGCATTAACATTGTCATCTAGAATCTCTGCAGCAACGAAGATGGAGGAACAGCGTCGGACCGGAGACGCCTGAATTAACAGACGGAGCATTAACATTGATCTGACAGACTAGAGCGTTGGCGATTGGGCGACCTAGATGAGACTCGAACGAATCTGGTTGCAACAAAATGGAATCTGCTCTTGGTCAGACTGCATCAATGGAAGAACTCTGTTAATCGCGATGATGATGATGGTAAAGCTCGAAGCGATAACGGGTGGTGAACGTCGAGTGATGATGTCAATGGCGAAGGGTTCTGGGCGCGCAACAGATATGGAATGGGTGAAGAAGCTTCAGAATTGTAGAGAATTACAAAAATAATGTGTACAGAAGTTTGTCCAAGGAGGGGCAAACCAAAGACTAAAAATTTTAAAGTTCGTGTCCAAAATATAATAAGAACAACAATAGCGTAATAATTTAACAAAAAATTATAGTTCATTACATTCTACTTGATTTACTTCTGCAACCTAGGCAAACCAATCCTACGAGTTTTCATATTTTGAAAATGCTGCATAATAGCTTCATTATCAATTGCTTGAAAAATGTCTCTTTCGATGTAGCATACTAAGCAATCCGTAAGATAGTCATCTCCCATCTTATTGCGAAGATCTGTCTTGATAATATTCATCGCTGAGAAAACTCTTTCAACTGTGGCTGTTGCAACTGGTAACACTAGAGCCAACTGCGTTGCCTGCCTGCGTTCTCAACTGCTCGATTCATTTTTTTTGGCGGAGTGGGAAGGGACTGCCGACTGACTAGGTCTTTTGTTAATGAAGCTTTGAATTTTTAACCCACTTAATGGCTTTAGACTTTAGTGATTACGTTTTGAATTGTTATTTTTTTCATTTTTGGGCTTAGGCTTTAGGATTGTCTAGGTGGCTTGGGCTTTAGAATTGTTTTTTTTTTCATTTTTCTACTTATGCCCGTTTTTTTTACTTAGCCTTAGACTAGATGCTCATTTGTCTCATTGACTCATTCATCCCCTTTTATTCTATATTTCATTTTTTTTACTTTTTCTGAAAATACTTTTTTATTTATTTTAACACTTCATCTTAAAATAACCTTAAGTTGTACTTATTGTTTTTAAAATTAAAAAAGAAATCGGGGCAAGAAACATATTATAAGTAATACTAGTAAAAAAAATTAGTCGGAGCGGGGGCGCTTGCCCCCCTTGCCCCCCCTAGCTCCTCCACTAACTAGCCCCCAAATGAAAAGTTAATAGTGCAAGAGAGAAAAAGCAAAGTAAAAATAAAGCATGCATAAAAGGATATAATTCGAAGTACTACCTCTTCAAAAGGGGAAGATAAACTATGTCTGTATATGACTTTTCTATAATCTTTAAAACCTCATAAAATTCAAGAAATTGCAAAGATTGTTCGGAATCCTAAGAAATACCTAGACCAAATTTCAGAGATAATGACACACTAGTACGTACTCCCTCCGTTCCTATTATATCTTCCAATTTTCCTTTTTCATCCGTTCCAATTAAACTTCTACTTTCCCCTTTTGGTAAAGAATTTGTGGTTCACAACATTTCTTACATATTTCTCTCTCCTCTGCACAACTCTCCACCACACAATACATACTTTTCTTAAATTGTGTGCCCATAGGAAATGGAAGATAAAATGGGAACGGAGGGAGTAGTATTTATTACTCTCTCCGTCCCATATTTAACTCCGGTTTTGACCGGGCACGAGTTTTAAGATAATGAGATTTGTGTGGTGGAGAGTTATGCAGATGAGAGAGAAATGTGTAAGAATGGTTGTGAACCACATATTCTTTACCAAAAAGGGAAAAAGAAGATAAATTTGAGACGGACCGAAAAGGAAAGAATAAAGACAATTCCGGTACAGATGATATACTCCCCCGTATCTATTTACTTGTCACAGTTTCCTTTTTCGGTATATCAAATGAATTCTCTTTTCCTTTTTTTGAAAAGAATTCCACTCAAAAAGCAGTAACAGTATCACTACGGTACCAAAAATCTCTTTTTATAAAGTCTACGGTAATTGTCTTAAACTCCGTTAGGATGCATATTCATTTTGAACTGAATTGCATCTAGATTAAATTGTTTGCCAGATTAGGCCTATTTACCATCCCTGATAATGCCAAAAGCATTCTTGGGCTCTTAATCCATTTCTTCATTCTTGTAGTACTTTTAGTAAGGTACATAAAGTAGATATACAAAGTTGTAAGCTATGACTCATCATTTCATTAGAATCTAAAATATTGAGCACTAATGTAACTGAATAGATGTGAGAACAATTGTGACATAACAGTTACAGGCCTGGTGAAGAGGGAGTTGAATCTGGGAAGGCAACAAATTTGCCTTTTCTCTCTTGTTCCCAAATCTGCCGGAGCTCATTCATGGCAGTGGAGTAGCTCTTCTGTTGGGAGTATTCCCTTGTGTCCCCTCTTCGCATCAACCGCTCATCAAACTCTGCATGTGGCCTCTTGTTGTGGTACAACCATTTCTGATGTAGATTTCCCTCTCAGGGACGACTTCTTCTCTTCCAGAATTCCTTCAAGGAATTGAAGATCCATACATCTAGCAATGTCTTGACACCCTATCCATTCCAAGACATAGGGTTCTTCTGTAATGTAATCACTGACCTGTCTGAAAAAGTCCTCAAATGGACTTAATCTCCATGCCCTCCAAGCCAGGACCCGAGCAAATTGGTTATCTAAAACAGAGTGGTCAATGATTTCCTCTTCTGTGGTGGTGTTGGGTAGTTCTGGTAGAGAGGATTCTGGTAATACAGCTTCTGGTTCAGTCATTCTGGTAGCACAGACTCTGCTAGCACCGGTTCCTCTAGAATATGAAGCCGGCATAGGGACCAGGTGGGGGACTGGCGGAAGGGGTGGGGTGGGGTGGGGCGGGGCTGACTGACAGCTGACCATGATTGGCCAGACTGTCGGTTGACTTGCCAGGCTGGATTTTGAAATTTGAATGGGAGGCGGCTCGGATGCGTAGCGATGGAGGGTGAGAGATTATTGGCTGTTGCCCTAATTCCGGCCCTGTAGCTGAGCGGATGGAGTGTCGGGTTCCTGTTGTGGGTTGAAGTGCGGATGGGCCTTCGCTTGATGGGCTGCTTGCTGGATTCTCGGCCCACGCGTGTGAAGCTGGGTTTGGATGCTGTACCCTGGAGTAATTATTTTCTGGGGTCTGATTTTGCTGCAATTGGGCCTTTGTTGGTTCATGGACAGCCCCTTACGAGAGGGTTTGACTAGGGGTGCAAACGAGCCAAGCCGTTCGTGAGCCACTCGTGGATCGCTCGGAAAAAGCTCGACTCGAGTTCGGCATCTTTCAGCTCGACTCGAGTTCGGCTCGACTCGAGTTCGGTTCGACTCAAATACTTAACAAGCTCGAGTCAAGCCTAATTATTTTAGGCTCGTGGCTCGCGAGCCGGTTAGCGAGCCCCGATATGTGTGTGTCTAATGTCTATAGATATATTATGTAGAATAATTATATATATAATATTTTTTGGAATGTTTATTCTAATTTATGATTACTCTATTTCTAATACTTATGATATTATAATAGTCAGGGAAAACTATCAAATAGGTCCACGTACTTTTACCAAAAAATCAATTGAGTCTATGTAGTTTTTTCCGAGTCAATTAAGTCCACCAACTATCAAAAAACGACCAAATAAGCTTTTTAGTAGGTAATCAACCGGTTGCCCGGTTAAACGCCTACGTGGACGTCCGAGCTGGCTTTTTTTATTGTTTTCAATTTTTTATTTTTATTTTTGGGAAAACTATCAAATAGGTCCACGTACTGTTAACAAAAAGTCAATTGAGTCCATATACATTTTTCCGAGTCAATTAAGTCCACCAATTATAAAAAAACGGCCAAATCAATTTTTAGTAGGTAATCAACCGGTTACCCGGTTAAATGCTTACATGGACGTCCGAGCTGACATTTTTTACTGTTTTTCCAATCTTTTTATTTTTGGGAAAACTGTCAAATAAGTCTATAAAGAAGTTTTTGAAATGATATGATACTTTTTGTAAAATATAAACATTTACGTAGTATGGTTCTTCTGTTTTATAGTTTATGAGACCAACTTCTAATTATATTATTATTGATTCCAATGCCACATAGAGCTTATTGTTACATCTTACCATTTATTTCAATTTTTATATAGTCACTATTATACACTCCGTTTCGTAATGAGCAAAGCTACAACATATAAATTCTATTGTCTTTTTATATTTGATAAAAATAAACATCATGTATCATCATAATAAAATATAATTTCAAATAAATTTTTATTCTATTCTACATACCCCATGACCCATGCATCGCACGGGTACTTCGTCTAGTATGTATAATGTCTAATTTGTAAAAACATAAAGACCACACATACAAGACGAACAATTAACAGATTAAATCATTATACTTCCTAGTATTTATTACATAAGTGATTTTACATTGAATTACCATAATTAATAACGTGTTATCTTTAAAAAATTGATCCATCCAAATGTTTCGAAATATATATAGAGCACACCAACCTCGTAGATGGGTAAAAGACATGTCCATTTAGTTTGAAATTTTCCAATCTCATATAGTATAGCCTCAAATGGTCACGTACTCACGTTTGGTAGGTATATTTTTTTTCCGGATTGAGAGGAGAAGAGGACTGCCGGACGGGAGAGGAGCGGAGAAAATAAAAAAATTGGAAAACAGTAAAAAATGACAGCTCGGACGTCCACATAGGCGTTTAACCGGGTAACCGGTTGATTACCTACTAAAAAGCCGATTTGGTCGTTTTTTGATAGTTGGTGGACTTAATTGACTCGAAAAAAAGTACATGGACTCAATTGACTTTTTGTTCAAAGTACGTGGACCTATTTGACAGTTATCCCACAAATAAAAAATTGGAAAACAGTAAAAAATGCCAGCTCAGACGTCCACGTAGGCGTTTAACCGGGTAACCGGTTGACTACCTACTAAAAAGCTGATATGGTCATTTTTTGATAGTTGGTGGACTTAAGTGACTCGGGAAAAAGTACATGGACTCAGTTGACTTTTTGGTAAAAGTACGTGGACCTATTTGACAGTTTATATATAATATTATTTATTATTATAACGATATAATAATCAAGGTTAAATGTAATAATTTAATCTATAATTATATCTATTTATTTGTTCAGTAGCTCGTACAAATCAAGGTTAAGAATGGTTTGAGATCATTTGCAACCCGAGTTCGAATCCCCTCCTTGCCTGTTTTATTAGCTCGTAAGTCTACCTGCTTCTATATACTATTTTAAACCTCTAAGATTTGCTTCCCACACCGGAAAATGATGAGAAACTACCTTATTCATTTATAAAGCTATTCGTCTCCGTGTAAACTATCAAGGCATAAGACAACCACTGCATATGCAAGGTTAGCGACTAAAAGCCTAAGCTTTCGAGTCGATCTCGAGCAGCTTGTGATCTTGATGCAAAGATGTCGAGTCGAACTCGAGTTATAAATTTTAGGCTCGATCGAACTCGAGACGAGCTCAAGCATTTAGAAAAATTACGAGCTCGAGTTCGAGCATATGTGAGTTCGGCTTGGCTCGACTCGTTTACACCCTTAGGTTTGACTCGTTACTGGGCTGGCTCTTCTGGGGACGACTTTCAAAACTGAGGCGCTTTCCGCGCCATCCCCCAAGGGGAGACAGGCTACAGACCACCATATCTTGTGCCCAGGAAACGACCCTCGATCCCCTCGGAACTCGGAAGGTTAACCCGAGGGGGGAGCTAATGGTGTATTCTGTTACCTCCCGATAGGCCAAGCCTTACCAAGAAACCAAGTTTCTTGAAGCCTTCCCTTCACTACTCAAAAAAAAAATGGGGTGGTGAAGGGGAGTAGACTCGGCGAGAAATCAATGAGTACATCACTCCAGCAATTCACAGAAACATACCGAGGGCTCCCCACGGGAACACCTTCGGTACCTGAAAGCTCACAGGTACAAAGGATACCATTCACAACAGACATCATCAACAAATGGATAAGTCCACTCAAGGATTGCCTCCGGCTATACCTAAAACCGAAGGCTCAAATACTACAAAACATGACAGGCTCAGCCAACAGCAACTCAAAGCGTTCCCGAAGGGTACTATATGACAAAGCTATCGGATGTGGCCAAACCAAATCAAGAATCACCTCCGGCGCCTCACTACATCAGTTACTTCATATAACTCTCGAAGACTCCTTGATTTTCTTATCGGGCTGCTTGAAGAAGAACTTGATGAGGAGTGATCATCTCTTTCATCGTCAAGTGTTGCCTCCCTTTCTTCTTAATTTTCAAATATAGAAATTGAAAAAATTTCTTTCTCATTTTCAACTTCATCGAACACAGAGCCTTTATGAAAACGGACACCCCGACTTATCACAACCTTCTTTGTCACCGGATTGTACAATTTGTACGCCTTACTTCTTTCACTGTAACCAATAAAAATGAATTTCTCTGACTTGTCATCCAGCTTGCTCCTCATTGCATCTGGTATATGAGAGTAGGCAACACTCCCAAACACTCTCAAATGATGAACACTTGGCTTTTGTTAATACCAAGCTTTATGTGGGGTGCAATTTTGTAAACTTCTTGTAGGTGACCTATTAATAAGGTAAACTACACAAGAAACAACTTCAGCCCAAAACCCCCTTGATAATTTCTTCTTGTTGAGAGGACATCTCGCCATCTCCATGATTGTTCTATTCTTTCTCTCACACACTCCATTTTGTTGTGGTGTATGACGAGCTGTCAACTCATGACGGATCCCATTGTTTTTGCAATATTTTTCAAATTCATTTGAAAAATATTCGCCTCCTCGATCAGTCCGCAAGGTTTTGATTTTTAGCCCGGTGATGTTAGTTTTCTCGCACTAAAAATATATAGCAATACAGGGTTAAAGTGTGAGTATCGTCTCCACATGGATGGAAAAGGGGAATTAAGTATTAATTAAATTCAGCGATTAAAAAAATAAACACGATTGCGCGAGATTGGTTGATTTGGAAAATTAAAATGCAGGCAAACGAACAAAAATAAATTGGTTCTTTCTAATTAATGACAAATGGAACAAGGATTGATTTCGGGGTAACCAAATTTCTGTTTGATCTGGCTTAATCACATGAAATTAATTTAATTGAGCAACGCTAGTCAATACTAAGTTCTAAACGCTCTCGCGACGTAGAGTACAATAATTTAGGGGACCAGACTGATCTCTCATGCGACATGATTCTAAAATTATTGCCAAAACGGGGGAGCGTTCGACCCCTTAATCGTTACTAATCTCTTAGCAAATGATTAAGTGTGTGTGAAGGTGTTCTAAAATAAGTAAGGCATACAAATTGTACAATCCGGTGCAAATCTTGAGATATCAATTAAATCATTCAAACACAAATTAAATATCATTCATGCAAATAACCCATCATGAATTTAGCCATACATAATAATTAACTACTTCATCAATCCCAAATCCCTAATTAAGACTACTCACAACTCATAATTGAAGAATCAATAGAATTGGGATGAACATAATTAATTGTCATTAATTAAAAAGTAGAAGCTTACAAATAATCCAAGGGAATTGAAGAACAATGCAGAACAATAGATGTAAAGTCGTCCTTAGGCCTCTCTCTAAGCTCTGTAACCCTTAAACGGGGACAATATGGAGGCCTTATTTATAGAAAACAGATGAAATTTGGGCTGAATTGGGAGATTCGGAGTCAGGCGCGGATGCCAGGCACGCCGTGACTAGCGCCCGACGTCCGTGCCTACGACCGTGCCTGACCTCCAGTAGCCATCTCACTGTTTCCTTCAGCGGGCACGACCTGCCCGACTTTGGGCGCACGGGGCGCGCCCTTTTGCTCCGAATTTGACGATGCTTTCTTCATGAAAACTAGTATTGTACCTGTGCGATGCACGGGGCAATAATGTACTTCCGTTGTTATGTTTTTTAGTTATTTAATATGCTCCTAATAATATCATGAATTTGAATAAAAGTGTAAGTAAACATAATATACAAATACCCAAACTAATTCAAATACTAACTTGTAGATTTGTACAACATAATTTATAATTGTTTCACAACATATGCTAACCATCTAATTATTTTAGGGAGAACTATCAAATAAGCCCTCAAACTTTCATAAAAAGTGCAAATAAGCCCTTTTACAGGAGGCTTTGTACGGATGTTGCATTTGGGGCGGTTTCCAGTGGATTTTTGGATGAATTTTTTTTAGCATCTTCTTCATTAAGTCTACTTTATTCATACCAAAGTTCAGCTAAAAATTCAATCGAGAAGGTAGTCAAATGATTTTCTGAAATATACTGTGCTGCCGAACTACGCAGTTATCTTCAAAAATTCATTTGACTGCCTTCATGATTGAGTGTTTAGCTGAAATTTGGTATGAGTAAACTAGACTTGATGAAGAAGATACTCAAAAAATTTCATCAAATAGTTCCACCGTAACCGTTCCAAATGGCGATGGCCGGACAGAGCAT